CATATGCCCTAAAGTCAATGTAGGAGTAGAAAATATGATAATAATTGTAAAAACAACAATGATCTTTTGGCATTGAGCACCAATGTCATATTATGACATTGGTACAAATGGTACACTTACGAGTCTCGATCTTTGTAGGTGCAGTCCCAATCTAACATGATCTATTTTTTAATCTAGTCCTTTTGCTAATCTCGATCACATTTTTTGCATCTCGCAACCTAACATAGTCTTTATGTTCTAAAGGTTCTAAAAATGAGAAACAAAAATACATAATCATGATGCGTTAGGTCCAAAAACATAAAGAATATGTTAATTATACGACTCTTTAATTTAGTTTATAACTGTAATTGTAAAAACGACAAAGATTTTTTTATATTGAGCACCAATGTCATAATTGATGCCATATTATGAAATTGATGCAATTGGAGACCAGACTAAATTATTGTCAATCGATGAACTGGAGGGAGGTTGGGAGATAGAACTCAATTTTAAGCCTAACAGAGCCACTGGTTGCTATTATAATATCACATTGAAACTCAAAGTCAAAAGATCATTATCATTGTAAAAATAACACTGTCTGTTTGTTTTCATTTCTACACATTATATCATATACTTCCTCCGTCCCTAAATAAACTTCCATTTTTGACTTTTTGAGGATTTAAGGGATTGATATTTTTGTGTTGACTTTCCAAAAATACCCTTGATGTGATGTGTAAAAGTAAGATGTGATAGGTAGATTATTAGTAAAAAGGTATGATGTGATAGGTAGGGTATGAAAAAGTAAGGGGTAAAAGGAGTTTTTTAAAGGAAAAGAGAAGTTTATTTGGGGACAAAGAAAAAACGAAAGAGGAAATTTATTTAGAGACGGAGGAAGTAGGTTTCTTTATAATATATAGTTTTGGCGCCAAAAAAGATAGCGATGAAATAATTTTTCATTAATTGCTTGAGATGTATCTAAGAACACATATTACTCCGTATATGTTACGGACTTAATTACGGTAACATGTTTATATATTTAAGCAAAAAAAAAAGATCAAAGCAATCAAATATAAATAGTACTCCATAATGTGTTGCAATTATATTATGTAAAAGGGAAAAAGTATTACGTGAAAGTACTAGTAAAGAATCCGAGCAAAAAGTGAAAGAAAATGTTGGTAAAAAAATAAATACTTACAACAAAATTTCAAATTTAGACAAAGAATCAATATGGAACTGGGGAGGACATTTTGCCAACTTGATCTAGAACATCAAGCACCTCAGCCCTGCTCCTCACGATCCTATGAAACACCTCTCTAACTTGTTGCTGGAGTGGCACCAGCCCATCCTCCATCTTCCGGCAAACATCCGCCAGCTCCGCCACTTGCACCGCCACCTCATCCGCCTTGTCCTCCTCCATCGGGAACTGGAACGAGTCGGCGAACTCAACCAACGTCTGGGCCACTTTCTCCATCCTCTGTACCTCCTCGAGCAACCCCGAAGTCCCTTTCTTCTCCTTCTTCTTCCACTCCTCCGCTATCTTTTCGTGGAGCCCGATTAGGGCCTGGCCCCACGTCACCTGCCTCGGGAGCGGGAAATGGGCAGTGAGCCCATTCCTCTCCTGGCAGGGGATCGCGGCCACCAGAGCCCACATCACGAACAGCAACACCGTGCTCATTATGTAGACGGGCAATGCAGTGGTCTCCCCCCCGCGTGGGGCCGCGAGGTTCGAAGACATGGCTTGGATCTGCTTCGCAGCCGACCACGATTTGGCCACCGACCACGACAATGACCGGAAACTCCCTGCGGTCCTATCCTTATTGCTAGAGGCGGCGGCACCACTTCGACGCCCGAACGACCAGCTCCTCTCGGAGATTTTCCCGTGGCCGCTGTTACTCTCCTTGTCGTCGAGCGCCATCGACGTGAGCAGCGTGTCGAGCGCCTTCTTGGCCCGCCTCACTTGCCCCTCCCCGAGCGGCTTCTGCTCGAGACAGGTGACCGCGATCTGCGCGAGCTTCTGCCAGTGCCTGACAAGCTCAACGCCGTGGCTCACGGCGTTGCAGATGTCGAGGGCCTTGACAGAGCGGTCGAGCAGATCGGGGATGAGGCGATCAAGGGGGGGCTTGGAGAACTGCGACGGGTCGCGGCCGATGAGAACGACCGCCTTGAACTCGGCTTCGCAGAGGATGAACGAGTCGAGAAGCTTCCGGAACCAGGAGATGGAGAGGAGAGGCGAGGGGTCGCACGCCGGGGAGTCGGTGGGGTCGCCGGGTTTCTGGGCGGGGAGGAGCTCGGAGAAGCGGTCGGCGACGTGTTTCTGGAAGAATTCGAGGTCTTCGAGCTCTTGGTCGTGGGGATTGTTGCCGCTCTCCATGGAAGCCACCTGGTTGCGGCGGATGCTGATGCGGTTCAAGAACGAACCTTGATCCGTCATGTCGTTTAATGTAATTCTCGCACGTTATTGATTAATTGATCAACAACGTAACAATGTTGTTTTGGTTGTGTTTTTTTTCTTCCCAGGCTTGTTATTATGTTGTTAATTGTTGGGTGATTAGAGGCCAGAAAGTAATGAATGGGGAATGATTTAAGGAAGGATATGGCTGGCTGTGCGGTTGGGTGGTTATAAAGTCAACAATGAAGGAAAGGAAGACCGTTGGTTTCTGGTTGCCTGCGAGAAATGCGCACATGCGACCATTTCTTCCTCCCTTGTCTTCCAAATTTATTGGGACTTCTCATATTTTTCACTCTGCTTATTCATACTCTACTTTCCATATCAAATTCCATTTATTGTACTTTAGACAGTTTCAAGAATATAAAAAAGAAAAAGAAAAAGAAAATCGCTCATTTCAAATTCTCAAAACTGAGTATATCAAATATCAATCGTAGCAGCACATAAAATCCGAGCAAACTCTAAACGAAATTCGGGTTGTGTTATGCAAAATATCAATTCCGTTGCAAATTCTCAAAAAGCAAAGGACAACATATCCTCATGAATACATGAACAACCTCTTGCTAATACTCCCTTTGTCCATAACTAATATTCTCACTTTCTTTTTTGGACTGTCCAAAAATTATCCCCCTTTCTTTTGCAAAAAAGAAAAACACTAAAATGACAATTATACCCAGGGGCGGACCCACTATGGTGCAAGTGGCGTCACCTGCAGTCACTCCAAAAAAATTTTTTATATAAATTTTATACTCAAAACAACGTCGTTTTGGGTATAATAAAAAAAATCACCCAGCCACCTTATCCCTTGGACGGAATCACAGCCTCACAACACCCAATTCAAACCCTCCCATCTCAAATTAGATAATCTCACTATCTCAAATTCCATCTTACAAATTTTCCTCTATTTTGTTTGCGGTGGCGTGTGGGAAGACACCCAAAGACTCGCCAACTGGAGGAGGTGGCCGGCGGGCGGCGGCGTGGCAGGTTGGGGGAGGCAGTAACTAAGGGCTGTAAGGCACTTTAAATAATTAGATTTGTACTAATTATAATATTATATGATTTATATCCCTTAGATAATAAAAATTATACTTTGGAAATTTTTTCACCTTTGATACTATGGAGTTTTATGCACCTTAGGTACTTTGGTTTAATTTGTGGGCAGCGGCAGCGTGCAGTGAATTTTTTTTGCATCCTAGATATTTTGGAGGTAGTAAGGCATTTTGGAGTTTTTTTGCACTTTGTTTTGATTTTTTTTACAAATTATGATTTTTGCACCTTAATATTTTCAAGCAAGGGAACATAGAAATACGGAGTATGATATTGTAATGTTTGTGTTTTATTATGTAATATGACTTTGGTGTTTTGTATGAGTTAATATTAATTACATTTAGTCTTCTTTATTTTGTATCTGTTAAAATTTTTATTAACCCACTAAACATATTTGGTTCCCTCACTTCCTTGGCCCACCCATTTCTTCCTCACGCCACTGTCCATCTTCTTTCTCTCTCATTTTTTTCGTTCTTCGCCTCCTCCTCTCAGATATGCTCTTCCATTACCGTCACATGCTCGAATCTGCACTTTCACAGACATTGATTGTGTAGATCTGTTCTTCCATCTTCGATTGTCTCTCCTAGCCAAAATAGTCTCTCTTTTTTTTCAATTTTGTTTCTCTTTTTTTCATCCTTTTTCTTCTGGATATTTTTTCTTTTGGATTATGGGTTTGAGATTCTGGCATAGAGTTCAAAGCTAAAGCATCGGCTCACAAATCTTGGTTGATTCCCAGAGGTGGAGGCAGTGGAATCGCTCCAGTGGCAACAAAGATTGAAATATTTGAGTAGATCTTAATTGATATTTTCAATGAAGGATGTGCTTAACGGGGAAGGGATGAAAGAGAGGCTGGGTAAGGTAGAGGGGCATTATGAGAAAGTCAATGAATATTTTAGATTTTCTTAAAGTGTGTGGCCGGTCAAACCGGAAAGTTTATTTCTGGACAGAGGGAGTATATGGGAAGATGGTTCATACAACAAAATGAGCAGAATGAATAAACACAAACATTATAACACCAAATCAAATGAGCATTATTCAAAGCAATAATAAGCATGTCATTCAAAAAAATTGTCTTTTTTAAATATAAAGGTAATGATGTCAGTTTTAGTACAAGTTTTTTTTTACCAAACGTTGAAAGATGAAGTTTATTGGGGATAGCCCAAGAAGGAAAGGTGAAGTTTATTTAGGAACGGAGGGTGTAAATTGTAAAAAGAAAAATAAAAACAAAAAAACCGTGCAAGGATTTTCGGAAGGGGGGGGGTGTAGGGAGACCTTACCCCTACCAAGAAAAGGCAGAGAGGATGTTTGCGACAAAACAAATAGTTCTACAAAAGTTTCTATACAAAACACTAATGTCCTATTCACCTATGCTTTGATCAGTATAGAACAATATCATTTGCTTACAAAGCAAAGAAGAGGGAAAATGTTGTTACCTTCACAATACAAAAGTGTGTTTTCTTGCTTCTTAGGAGGCAGAAATTTGGATCCGGTGAAATTAACAGCACAATCCACGAACCGTCCCAATTAAATCTCGACATCAACTTTATGATCTAAATTTTATAAGGACGGTCAACAATTTAGTTACTCAATGGAATCGTAATATTCTAAGAGGTGGAACAGAGCCTTCAGAGCATAGGAGTCTAACTCACTTGAAAACTACCACATGTAATATCCAAAGTCCGATCCAAGTTATTAGTGATAAAAATATATTTTGTAAGGATCTTCATTACTCTTGGCATAATTGTGAAAAAACAGTATTTTATATTAAAAAAATGATAACATTGGTAGTTGAAGTAGCGACTAGCGAGGGACTAAACTTGGAGATGTTTAAACTTATAACTATATGATTATGCTTTCGCATAAAATGATACATTCACCATAGTTTCCAATGTGCAAGTGCATTATTGCACTTGAAGAAGTAGAAAAAAATTGGAACCTACAAAATGGAATCATAATTAACATGAACCTAAATTTACCTTCAAGGCTAACAATTGAACTAACCGCTAGCAAAACAAATAGTTAATGAATAGTGTACAATCAGAACAATGTATCATTTACCTCATGAATGATGATCCCCATCCCTTCATCTCTCCAAGGCTGATATTTCCCCAAGGTCTTTTCACGAAGGAATAACAAACTGTGCCCAAAAAAGAAACAGAAGAAGCCAGCTTCTCCCTTCGAAGGCCAATTCTTATCTTTCAACGGAGAGGATTGATTCTCTAATTTCTATTCAAGATCTATGCAACCAACTCCTCATAGGCTTCTTCATCTGATGTCGCCTCTTCACTAGCAACATGAGAAGCATCTTTTATTTGCCTAGTCAATCCTCCCAGCAAAGAATAAATTTCACGCCTTTGACTGTTTGAGGTGTCTGCAACCATAAATGATGAAAACCCAGAACCCATGTCGATCCAAGCACACCCCGGATCTTTTCTCACACCGGAGTCCCTCATTAAGGTCCTCACTTCAGCTAGTTTGTTCCAGCACCCAGCAGCAGCATACATGTTTGCTATCAGAACGTAGTACCCCGAATGATCTGGTTTCATTTCCAGCAGTTTCTCAGCTGCCCATTCCCCAATCTCTGTATTCCCATGGATTCTGCATGCCCCAATCAGTGTTGCCCACATTGCAGTTGTTGGCTCAAACGGCATCTTCTTCATAATGTGTTGAGCCTTTTTAAGTAAACCTGACCTTCCAAAGAGATCAACCATACATGAGAAATGCTCCAATTGGGGAGTTATATCGTAAACACTTTGCATCAGTTCAAATAGCTTCTCTCCTTGAACTAAAAGGCCTGAATGACTACATGCTGATAAAACAGCAATCATGGTCACGTGATCTGGCTTTAAGTGGGACATAATCATGTCCTCAAAAAGTCTAAGAGCTTCTTTTCCATTTCCCTGCACACCATATCCGGCTATTAATGAAGTGTATGTCACCGTATCTTTCTTGCTCATAGAATCAAATAGTTTCTTGGCTAAATACACTTTCCCAGATCTTGCATACATATCCAGAAGAGAGTTCCATAACAACAATTGTTCCTCGAACCCTTCATGCTTAGTAACATAGCAGTGAAACTCTCTGCCATGTTGCAGATCTGCAACCCGCGCACACAGGGGAAGTATGCTTGCTACTGTCACAAAATTCGGTTTGAATCCAGAACGCAACATCTCCCGCAAAAAGGACGAGGCTTCCTCATATCTACCCCAATGTGCGAACCCAGATATGATTGAGTTCCAGGAAACTATACTTTTAGGCTCTTTCAACTGAAAGAGAACGTGTGCCAGTTTTAGATCTTGGCATCTAGCATACATGGTTATCAAAGCATTTGCCACATTATCAAAATCCTCAAAATGATTCCGAATTGCCGAACAGTGAATTTCTTTTCCCAACCTTAACGAACCAGTTTGAGAACATGCTCCTAGACCTATAAGCACAGCCACGGGATCCAACTGATATCCACAAGTTCTCATCCGCGAGAGCAACTCAAAAGCACCTTTAAAATTGCCTGTTTTTGTGCACCCACTAACTATGGTATTCCATGTGATACTATTCAACTCAATACCATTCGACATCATTCTTTCAAAAAGATCAAAGGCCTTATTCCATATACCATTAGAGGCATACCCAGAAATAATTGAGTTCCATGAAACAGCATCCTTGACTGGCATTCTTTCAAAGATCACATGAGCAGTATCCAGGTCCCCACACTTTGCATACATTGACACTAAAGCATTCTGAACAAATATGTTTTTCTCTGGCAAACTAGCATATACGGACCTGTGAACCTCCCTCCCAAAAGAAAGATTTGCCTGTTCACCACATGCCTTAAGAACAGATGGGTAAGTGAAATCATCAGGCCGAATTCCCTTACTCACCATCTGCTTGTAAGCAGATAGAGCATCTTCATACCGCCTAGCTTTAACATAGGAAAAAATGAGCAGATTCCATGGCAAAGGGTGCAAAATGTTTGACGATTCAGTCACTACGTGAGCATAAAAATGTAATCCAAATGTTGTGTAAAAGGTAATGATTTTAGGAACCAACATGCCATGGCGTGCAAGACCAGAAGTAATAGCATACGCGTGGAGTTGTTTGCCCACACCAAATGACTTAAGGTTAATGCAACACAAGAAGAGAGACGATAAGGATTGCAGCACAGTGCCACATGGAGATTGCAAGGGTACATACGACTGAATAAGACCGAAAATTTTAAACGCTTTCAACAATTGGCCTTCACTGACATAATTCTTCAAGGTAGGAAGTAAGCAATCCACCATTGATTCATCATAAGGTATATGAGTCCCTATAACAAAATCATCACACCCAGAAAAAATGGATTCAATATTTTTTCGGAAGTCTGAAACTTTGACACTTTGGAGCCACTTCTTGGGTATGAATTTTTCAAATTGAGAAATGGAAATGCATCTGGGTAGAGAACTAACTGCAAAGGGCATAAAATGAAGATGAAGAGGCTATTAGAGTGATTGAACCGTGCCGGTTGCATGACTGCTCCCGCACATGCAGCATTCGAAAAAATTGCAAGCCCTAAGAGAAATCGCCGGTCGGACACTCCTTGCCGGATGCGTCTGGATACGCGCAGGCTCCGGTGGTGTTGGATTTTCCGGCAGTAGCGAGATGTTGTGGGAGGGTAAGATGCAAAACAGGGGTTGTTTTGATTTGGAAGAGGAACCCGAACCGGCGATGGGTTGTGCCCGATTGCGGTGAGTTTTTGGAGGTCTTTTTCTGGTGACTGGAGAGGAATTGTGGTTGCGGCGGCTAGACAGGGCCGCTGTATTCCTGGGAAATACGGGGTAGTCAATTTTTCAATACTTGAAGCGGTCAATGGACCGTTTGGATGGAGACTGGAGAGGTAATGTCCAAGTAAGATTAAGGTTAATTTGATTAGGCTAAGGCCCGGTTCCGTTCAACTTATTTTTTCTTATTTTTTTTATTCTTATTAAAATCAGATCAAATCAGATCAGACCAGATCAGATCAGATCAGATCGAATCAGATCAGATCAGATCCAATCAGATCAGATCAGATTTAATCAGATCAGATCAGATTCAATCAGATCAGATCAGATCCAATCAGATCAGATCAGATCCAATCAGATCAGATCAGATCAGGACTTATTAAAATCAGAGAATTATTATTATTATTATTATTATTATTATTATTATTATTATTATTATTATTATTATTATTATTATTATCATTATCATCATCATCTTCTTCATCATCATCATCATTATTATTACATTGTCAATCTAATTCTACTTTTAAAATATATTTTTATTGCTACTTGTAATTTGAGTTTCTAAACTTTTGATCTTTTATAAGGATGAGATATTTTAATAAAAATACTATCTCTTCTATATATTGATTATCTAAATTTAATTATTTTTTAATGTATATCTAAATTAAATTTTTATTCTAATGTATAATTCTAATTTTACAAAAAAATAATCTTAAAATAAAAATATTATTACATTATAATATGAATGATTATTCTAATATATGAATTGACTATTTTTATTTTATTAAAAAATAATCATTAAATAAAAAATGTTGATTATATTATAATATGAATTATCATTACAATTTTCAAACGTTATTATAAAGTCAAATTAAATTATTGATTTAAAATTTTAAATTAAATCATAATTAATCAGATCAGATCAGATCCAATCAGATCAGATNATTTTACAAAAAAATAATCATAAAATAAAAATATTATTACATTATAATATGAATGATTATTCTAATATATGAATTGACTATTTTTATTTTATTAAAAAATAATCATTAAATAAAAAATGTTGATTATATTATAATATGAATTATCATTACAATTTTCAAACGTTATTATAAAGTCAAATTAAATTATTGATTTAAAATTTTAAATTAAATCATAATTAATCAGATCAGATTAGATCCAATCAGATCAGATCCAATCAGATCAGATCAAATCAGATCAGATCAGATCCAATCAGATCAGATCAGATTCAATCAGATCAGATCAGATCTAATCAGATCAGATCAGATCAGATCCAATCAGATCAGATCCAATCAGATCAGATCAGATCAGATCAGACCAGATCAGATCAGAACTTATTAGAATCAGATCAGATCAGAAAAAATAAGTTGAACGGAACGGATCCTAAGTGGTATGTGTCCAAGTAAGATTAAGGTTAATTTGATTAGGCTAAGTGGTATGGTTAGATTATGTGGTATGAGGTGCGACCAGGAGCTGGTGACCGGCCGTCGCGCCTCCTCCGCCGTGCCACACTGGACGTGACAAGAGCGTGACCATGAAAAGGTGACGGGCCTCACTTCTCCTCCGCTACTTTGATTTTGACGCGGATGCCGATGAAAAAATGACTATAAAGTCGTTGATTTTTTTTGTTTTGAACCGTTAGGGGTAAAAAAAAATCTATAAATACTCACATCCTCACTATTCTCTTTAATTTCACCCATCTAAATTCCTTCCTTTCAATCAAAAAAAATATTTATTATGGAGTATAATTTACTAATTAATTCTATAGTCTCCTCTATCCAATGGATCCAAACAACCGCAACAACCCTAACTATAATATGTTTTTTTTATCTTGTTATCGGCCTCAAATGGATCAAAACATGCCAAACCCACCGATGAAACAAGCCGGCCACCTAGTCGAAACAAGGGAAAGCGCCCGTCCACCTCGCCGCACCTGAGAGTACACACAAGATCTGACGGAGATAACGACTTGCATGAGAAAGTTTGTCAATCTCCAGCACCATAGATAGAAAAAACAACATGCGGTTGATGTGGGCGCCGACAAAGCACTGAGCACTTAACAGGGTACCAAGGAGATTGCCCAAAAATACGAAGGGAGATATTATAAAAAGATGGGGACTGTAGTTGTTTATCCGTAATGAGACACCATCATTTCGTCATGCCCATTGATCCCAACACCACACCGCACCTAAACAACAATGGAGTGATGAGTACATTTTCATATACTCCGTATATGACAATTCACATAGCATTATCATACAATCACCCCCAACCATACCACATAGCCTTAGAGCATTGGAAATGGGTGTAACGCCGGGGACATCACTTGGCTTTTGACGCCGGTTGGGCGTTAAACACCGCCGCCATGGCGGTGTTACACGGGCGTTATTGCCTTTGCGTCAAAACTTTGACGCTGCATTTGCTTCTTCCCCTTGGCGCAGCCCCCCTCCCCAAAGGCCAAAATAGTCGTTAAACTAAAAAAAATTCTTCTTATAAATTCAAACCATCTATCTCTCTCTCACGCACATCTCTCTTTATCTTTCTCTATAATTCTTTCAAATATTACTATTTTAATTATTTCTACAAATATATTTTAAAAATGGGATCATCTTCCTCTCTTAATGAAAAGAGAGCTCTCATTTTTTGCTGTTTCACCACGGGTTGTTATCAATGGTGGCAACATGGCGAACATGAAGAAGCAGAATCCTCTCGACCCCCGACCCGATGTTAGCGTTCTCGATCAATCGCTCGATTTTTACGATTGGGTTAATGAGACCGCACCCGACTCTTCTTTTGAGCTTAGAGGGACGTTTTACAAGCGTGAATATTATTTGGCCGATGAAATATATCAGATTATTTCACGATTGTCTAGTTCCTCTCTGAACCATTGGGTCTTAAACGCTAGACCTACAAAAAAGCTCATGAGGCAGCGAGAAAAGATATTGAATGAGCCTTTGAGGTATTGAAGGCTAAGTGACACATTCTAGATCATCCATCCAAATGTTTCTCTCAAATAAAAATGACAAATATCATGTACGCATTCATTATTCTTCATAATATGATCATAGAGGACCCCATGTTTGCGATTTGTAATTACAACCCAAACGAGGAGGTGCCTATGTACGAAGAAGTCGATGAAGAAAAGTAACGAAGAAACTGCCAAGAAAGTCGAAGCCGAGAAATTCACAATGCACCAACGGCGGATTGGATTAAACATATCTTTAGTTATGTATTTTTTATTCAATGAATGTAACTTTTTTCATTAATGAATGTAATTTTTTTACTTAATGAATGTGAATTTTTTAATTAATAAATGTAATTTTTTAATGAATGTAAATTTTTTAATTACTGAATGTATTTGTTGTTCATGATTGTAATTTTTCAATGACTAAAATTAAAGAATTTAATTTTTTAAATTTAATTTTAAAAGATATCTATTTAAAATGTAAAAAATAAAAGTTTGAAGCCCCAGTTTGAAGTTTCAGGGTTTCAAACCCCATTTCCAGTGAATTGGTGAGGTAAGTTAATTAAAGCTGACCTGGCAGAGAGGGGTCAATATTAAGTCGGTCCTGAAGTATATATTTTCGTCTTGCATTACATATGCTAGAATGTGGGTGTGGTAATTTTTGTCTATTTTTTTATTTTTTTTGTTAAAATTATTTAACTTTGACCATATATTAATTAAAATTGACACTCGAGTATTAGATGTTGATGGAAAAATAATTATGATATTTTTGTCTTATAAAATATTTTTAAAATATTATTTTATCTAATTAATATTCTATATACCATAAAAATTTTATTTAATTACTCCCTCCGTCTCCAATTTGATTACAAATTGCGTGTTACAGAGTAAAATTTTCTACTTTTTGAAATCATTTTATTTACAAATTGGTATATCAATAAGATATAAAAATTACATATTAAAAAACTACAATAAAAATTCTACAAAACAAGAGGTGAAAAGAATATTTTATTTTATCAAATACTTAATGAAATCGCGTAAACAAACAAAAGTTATCGAGATGAGAGAAAAAAAATTGTAATGAATTTAGGGATGGAGGGAGTATAAGTCAAAACAAATACTCCAAAAGTCAAAATTCTACAAGCACTTAACACTATTTTTTCCAAGCCAAGTTAGCAATCCATTCGGCTATTCGGCCTAGGAAAATGCTAGGGTGCCACCACATGGGTGCTACCATGGGTGCACCCATGCTTCGCACAAACAAACACAGACGATAATTGTCTGTGTCGAACAGACAATTATCGTGTGTGTTTGTCTGTGCGAAGCATAGTTGCACCCATTGTAGCATCCATGTGGTGGCACACCATGGTCAATTCGGCCTATTCCTTCCATTAATTGTGCTGCTATCTTCTTATCTTGTTTATGTGGCATGAACCATTCCTCTTTGATTCCCACAGTCACAAATTCACAATATCTTGAGCTTCTCCTAAGTCCGAACCTCTACCTTTAAAAAAGAAAACCGCCCATTCCCGAATAAATGGCGGCTGCCGCACCCAAACTCGCCGCCACAGGCATTTTACCAATCCCTACCCGGCCCAACTGCGGCCACAAACCACCGTCGTCTCTCCTCCCTCCACCCACCAACACCACCACCTCCGATGGTCAAACCTCAAGCCTCAGAATCTCCATCAACACCTTTACTGTCCAGAGAAGGTACATTTGCCAGGCCGCAGAGGTGTCGGCGGCGGAAGGGCCGTCAGCATCGGGAGGAGGAGAGGAATCGAACAACTGGGTGCCGGTTGTTCCCCTGGACGCGCTGCCGAGAGGAGAGCGGCGCGTGATCACCCAAGGCGGCGAGACCATCCTGCTGCTCTGGTATAAAAATGACGTCTTTGCCATCGAGAACCGATCCCCTGCAGAAGGGGCGTATACTGAAGGCCTCCTCAACGCCAAGCTCACTAAGGTTTTTTAATGAAATATTTAGAATCTTAAATCAGTACAATTCATAAAAGAGAATTCAAATTTATGCAGGATGGGTGTATTGTTTGCCCAACAACTGAGAGCACATTCGATTTACAAACCGGAGAAGTAAAAGAATGGTACCCAAAGAACCCAGTTTTGAGAGTTCTGTCTCCTTCACTGAGAAACCTGCGCGTGTATTCTGTCAAAACAGACAACGAATATGTATACATCAGCACGAGAGGGGCGAAAACGGATGCATCTGCTGAGATTTTGTTCAGTGGAAAGGCTCAGCCCGGTGTTACTGCAACTGATGTCAATGTGGACGAGGTAAAAAGTCTCTTTTTTAACATTAATAACTCTATTACAAAGTACTCCGTAGTAAAGATCGGTCTTAGTTCCTGTTTTTAGCATAATGTAGTGACAGGAGATGAGACTTTTACATTAGTTTATTTCACACGTGGGTGTTTGTAATTCAACCATATCAGCAACAAATCCATGCTAACTTTTAGTCATTTAAGACAAAAATGACCCTTTTCGAATGGGGTATGTACCTTATGAATGTTATAGGTGAGGATGGTGGTGGGAGAGGATGAAGAGGGCTTTGGTTTCACAAGAAGGAATGAGGTGATAAATGGAAAAGCTGCTGCAATTGGGTTTCTGCTGCTGCTAGGCTTTGAACTTCTTACTGGTAAAGGTCTTCTCAAAGGGACAGGAATCTTGGACTTCATTCACTCTTTCTCCAAATGAAGTTTAGGCACACTTTTTTTTTTTGGGGGTCTCATATGGGCTGTATATCTTGTGGGAGTAATCTAACTTCCCATCACATCCAAGAGTGGAATAGGGGAGGGAGTGCTTGTGAAGCTCAAGTCAAGTGTATCATTGATCTATTTCTAGTTTGATTTCTCTTTTGTGCATGTGAAACACTATGATGTCAAAAAGTGATGTCCCCTAGCTATTTTTTTATGAACATTCACACGAATCTTGGAATTAACAACCTTGTGTTAATACCGCGCTAGCAAGTTAACAAGAGTTGGGGTTTTATAGCAATCGTTGAGCTAATTTTTTTTGCTACGTCTTTAAAGGTGAGATTATTATAAGCAGCTTGATACATAAAGATAAAAAAAAATCAGTTGGATCGACGCGAATACATGATTCTACGTCACGAACATACAAGGAGTATAAACTTTTCAACCTAAACCCCAACTTATCCGAACCCAAAGTATCTCAAATTCGAAAGAACCGAACCCGAACTTGATCTACAGACCTGTTTGCCAAATCTGGTTAGGGAATATGACTGAAATCATTATCTTAAATACTCTTATAAGCCTCTCAGTGCAACAATTTTCATATTCCTACAATGAAACGAGACGGACAACCATTTTATTTCTTTATTTTATTAACTTACTAATCGGGGACAAAGCAGCTACAGGGCTCCAAGTTATGAACTCATACAACAATCTTCACAAAATACAAAGATGAAACAACACAGTGGAAGACAAAAGCAGCTTACCAAAAAAAACATCACTCAAAATGGCTGTGTACACAATGCTCATAGCAACGTTTATTCATTCCAGTTTGAGCGGCTGGTGGTGGACATGGACAGGATCTGGTCCAGCAAGGAGCCTCCCGGGAGGATGCGATTCCAATCTCATGGGATCCATTAGAGGCCTCCCGGTACCAATGAAAGAAGTCCTCCGGGAACTAAGGTTGTCGAAGAGCAGGCGAAAAGTCCAGTTGAGGACCTTGGGAGAGAAGACCCTATAGAGAAGGAATGTAGTGTCATACCAGCTGGGGTACTTCACATATGCATCTCCACGGCACGCTCCATCCACAATCATCTTCGCAAACTCCTCCACCGATCCGCTTGCGTGTACCTTCACAAATAATGAGTTAATATAGTAAGCTTTTGGGTCTTCGGCTTCAATTGGGTCGTGCTAGGGTACCCCCAACATTTTAGGGTTACCATGACCTCAACACATAAACTTAGGGTCATGGGTAACCCCAAAATGTTGAGGTTACCCTAGCTCTATTCGCTTGAATATGGTTGGATATCGTAGTTAGGTTATGGGGGTTGATCCAATACTTCTCTTTCTTCTTTCCACTGCATCTCTGCGCCCTCCTCCACCATGATTTTTCCCCTCGTCATTTCAGTGCCGATCCAACCATGTGTCGCGACTGTGATCCCAATGCTGTCTTCCACCTCCAGCCTAAGTGTCTCGTAGAAATTCACCAGCGCGGCTTTTGCTGCCTGTTTCATTCAGGGCACAATTTCATTTTTTCGTAGGGTGTAGGAAAGGAAATATAAAAATACCCTAAAAAGGAAAGTGTGTAAAGTAAGAAGAAACAAATTGGCTTTTGGGCAATAAAAAGCAACAAAATATCTCACAGAGTATAAACTCATTCTTGGCAAAGGCATCCAATTCTCCACCGATGCATTCACTACGATCCGACCTCCGTGTTGGCGAAGATATGGGAGGGCTACATATGTCGGATAAACATTTCCCCAGAAGTTTATGTCCTGGAAATTAACAAATCCATTGTTTTGCGAGATCGATTATATGGATAACACAATGCAGCTCATAATTTGACACCAAAACACATTTCTTGTTTTTTTTTTGAATTACATCTCAACACCTACCATTAGAATAGGAAACACAGAAGAGTCTGTGGCTTCCTCGAAGTAAAACGTATGTCCTAGGCTTGCTGTATTTACCAGATGATCAACTGCAATGGAAAAACAAACCAGATAAAAAAAATCCCGACATAAAAAAATCAGCGGAAATTAAAATAATGTGTACGATCTCAAACATTCCACAAATGAAAGGTTTCTATGAAAGTAGGGTACCGCGGCCAAAGAAGTTGACTGTCTCGGTGATGAATCTGGTGCAGTCTTGTTCCTTGACAACGTCTGCGGCTGTGATCAACACATTCTTGGCACCCAGCAGCCTCGCGTTCTCACTGATTCCCCGCAGTCTGTTCTCCCTCCTTGCAACTAACACAAGATTGGCTCCCCTTTTGGCATACTCATATGCAATTTGCTGTCATGCATTATTATTATAAGTGTATTACATATAAAATGGAAGCAGATGTACATTAATATTTGGTGATTAAGGGGTGGCAATTTAGAAACAACAAACTATGAGAGTTACATTCATGATTGAATTGTGGCAAGCCTGGGACATATTTAATTATGATATAAATTTAATATAATTCAATTGATTTTAAAATTTAATGTTGATATATCAAAATTTTATCACATTTACTAATATCTTTATGTTTATAAATGCAAAGATAAAAGATAAATTCAAATAGTGTTACGCTCCAATTGAATACAATTTGGTAAAAACTGAGTGAAATGATGTGAAATTTTGTAAATTTTATTTAATATTAATCCTAAAAATTGATAGAATTGAATGAGATAAAATTATATTCAATTGAGTCAAATATAAATAATTTTACACCTAAATTTAATTGTGTAGATCAAATTTTAAAATGATAACACTAAACGCTGCCGCTAGAGAGCCTTTTTAAAATGATAACGCTAACCTCTAACGTTACTCAGTAATATGAGTGAATTGGTTTGAAACTAATCAAATTAACTTCCAAACCAATAAAATTTATATTGTAATTGGATGAAATTATGATAAAATCTAGTTTTTTCATACAATTCATCATATATTTTTGCCGTACCAAAAAAAATAGCACACTTTATGATGAAACTTTATTTATTTGAATTGTGCGCTTTCATTGATTATTTGATAAAATAAACTATTATTCTTGTAATCTCTTATTTTGTAAAACTTTTAACGTATTATTTAAATACATAAACATTTTTTATTTCTATACCAATCTTTACTAAATAAAATAAATTTTAAAAAAACTTAAAAATTTTATTTTTTTTGCATTATGTAGTATTCTTTCTGAGATGGAGGGAATTTTTTTTCAAAATAATACTTCCTCCGTCCACAAATAAACTTCCGGTTCACTATTCACAGGGTCAAACTTTATTCACTTTCCCGTCACCGATTTGATAAAATAATATAGCCATGTTACCTCTAGTTTTGTAGATCTTTTGATATAATTTTTTTTAATATGTAATTTTTATTTTTAAATTTTAAACTATTTTTCATATAAAATGATTTGAAAATAAATTCAGTCAAACATCGTAACGCGCAACGGGAAGTTTATTTATGGACGGGAGGAGTATTATTTTAATTAGATTTTGTAACTTAAAACAGAAATTAATATTGTACTTTTAACATGATATCTAATCAAATACTTAAATTTTCATATCTAATCTTGCCCGCTAATGCTCAAAGTTCCCCCTCATTCTTTTTCACTTTCCGCTTAACCTTGTCACTTTTCTTACACCACCATTCCACTCATTTCTCAATTCTCAATCACCTTCAACCCTCAGACTTAGACCCCGTCCCGTTCAACTTATTTTTTCTTCTTTTTTCTTATTCTTATTAAAATTAGATCAGACCAGATCTAGATCCTAATTAGATCAGACCACCAGATCAGATACAATCAGATCAGATCCAATAAGATTGGACCACATCCAATCAAGAATTATCATTATTATTATTATTACTATTATTATTATTATTAAAAATGAAAAAGAATAAACTTTAGAAACAAGTTAAATAAAAAATGAGAAAATAATCCTTAATTATTAGACGTTGGAAAAATTATTTTTAAAATACATTGAGAATGTCAATCTAATTCTACTTTTAAAACGCATTTCTATTGCTACCTGTAATTTGAGTTTTTAAAGTTTTGACCTTTTACTACATCGAGTTGATCAACTTTGATCATAACTTAAATAAAATTAACATTTCATATTCATATATGGAGTATATTTTAGTGTATTTGAAATAACTATTATATCTATGGTGTTATATTAGTCATAAAAAAGTTTCTTAGTACAAAGCACACGTTGATATTTTATATAGATGAGATATTTTAATAAAAATACTGTCTCTTCTCTGTATTGATTATCTGAATTTAATTACTTTGCAATGAATATATGAATTAAATACTTATTCTAATGTATATATGAACTAATTATTAAAATATTAAATCAATATTATTATTTAATAAAAAAAATCATAAAATAAAAAATATTATTCTATTATAATATGAATGATTATTCTAATATATGAATTAACTAATTTCATTTCATTAAAAATTAATCATAAAATAAAAAATATTGATTATATTATAATATAAATTATCATTACAATTTTTAAACGTAATTATAAAGTCAAATCAAATTATTGATTTTAATTTTAAATCAAATCATAATTAATCAGATCAGATCAGGCCAGATTAGATCCAATCAGATCAGATGCAATCCGATCATACCAGATCAGGGCTACAAAAAATCAGATCTGATCAGAAAAAATAAGTTGAACGGAACGGAGCCTTAGCTTCTTTCAACTCATGCTTCATCTTGTTTTTCAAATATTTTATTACCTTTAATTTTGTTAATAACAAAATAGTTGGCTCAGTTTATTCATCGATCCCATATTTTATATGTATAACTTTTGTTTAATTTCTAAATATAATAAATTTAAGGTATGAGATTTTGTAATATCTTTAAAGATGGTAATCCATTTTATGAGGGAATGAGCAATTAAGTTAAGTAATCTAATTAGTTCAAATGGTAAAATAAAAGTACATATTTAAGAATATAATATGCTTATTAGAAGGCAAACACAATTCTAGATTTTATCGGTTTTAGTTCTAATCAGTTTTGGATACTATCAGTATTGGATCTAATCAATTTTTGAATTTTATCAGTTTCGGGTATTATTGGTTTCAGATCTAACCAGTTTTGGGTTTAATTAATCGCTTCGAATATAATCGGTTTCGGATCTAACCGGTTTTAATGGATTTAAAGTGGATATCAATTATTTTGTTCGGTGTCGGTTCATTCGAATCATTTTGGATTTTCCATTATAGATCTAATCTTGATTTTTTTTAGTTCATTTCGGTTTCGATTTCGGATGATTCGGTACGGGTAATTAGTTTCAGTTCTGTTTTTGCCAAGTCTATTTGGATGACATGCATGAAATAATGGTGAGAAAAGTGAAAAGAAAGAAAATGTTATACTATCTCTGAGTATTTGTCCTGTTTTGATTTTTTTGGTCAGCCATTTTAACATTTGACCTATAATTAAATAAAATATATATTGTATATTAATTAAATAAAATAATATTTTAAAAATATTTTATATAGTAAATCTAACAAAACTAATTTTGTATCAATATCCAATATTAGTTTTAATTAATTTGAGATCAAAGTTTAAGAATTTTGACTGAAAAAAGTCAAAAGTAGACAAATACTCAGGGATGGAGGGAGTAATATAAATTACTATTGGTGCCATTTTCTCATCTCCTTATTATGGATTTTTTTTTTGCCCAACCAAACATGAGAAAGCTAACTTTTTTAAAATTTCTGTTTTCTTACCATTTACTCATATTTTCTTTACTGTCAATTTTCCTACATCCAAACACTAGCTAGTACTCGTAAATCACTAGCTACATTGTAATAGCCTAATAGGTACTCCGTACTTAAGTGTGTATAAACATAATTAAAATACCTCCCCTATGCCGGAAGAAGCTCCGGTGATGATGACGACCTTATCCTCCATCATCTCCTCCCCGAAAAAAGCGATCCAAAGCCGTTCGCACGCGCTGATGAAAGTCAGAGCCGGCCATGCAAACGCCAGAATCACCAGGCTCGCCGGCGGCAACACCATGTTCAGCACTCTATTCCCCAAATCCATCATCCTGCTATCAGCACCCACTACCTTTTTCTGTTTCTTTTTTTTCTTCTTTTAATTACTTACTCCGTAATTAATTATATTGTTGCAGTACTAATTAATAATACAATCAACAACGTAAGTATATATCGATCTACTCCAATTCTTTGAGCCCTTATTAGTTCTTCTCATTTAAAATTATTATTGTTATTTGACAATCCTTCAAATTTTTCGAAGAATAAAGAAAGAAAAAAGAAATCAAAAGTAAATTCAATAAAGAGTTGGCCCTAAATAAAAATAGGGGTATTATGAGTCGGTGTGAATTGAATTATGTATGATGATGAGTTACCGCTCATATTGCAGATGATTGCATGCATGCATGCATCTGAACACGTGTTGCTCCCTCTTATCAACTCTGACATGCATACTACCCCACATGCTACTATACTACTCCCTCCGTCCCATGAAACATTTCCCGTTTCAAAAAATGGCGCGCCTTTAAAATGTGTAATTTTGGTGCTATTTTCTAATTATGATTAATCTATTCTACACATCTCATCCTACTCTTTTATAAAGTAAAGGCAAAATTAGAAAATAATACCAAAATTACTCATTTTAAAGGCGTGCCATTTTTGAAACGGGAAATGTTTCATGGGACGGAGGGAGTAATATACAGGGAGTGTATCCTTATACTTCCTCCATCCTAAAACATCCTTCCACTTACTATTCAATATTCATAGAGTCAAATTTTAATCATTTTCATTACATATTTTCGTTAGTTATTTGATAAAATAATATAGTCTTGTCTTCTCTTGTTTTATTAAACTTTTGATGTAGTCTTTAAATATATAAATATTACGGAGTATTTCTTTTTAATTTACACATACAATAAAAAAATTAATTGAAAATAAAGTCAGACAAACCTCGTAAACAGAAACGAGAAGAACATTTTAGGACGAAAGGAGTATAGAACTCCCTATATAAGATTAAAAAACTATGAAAATACCAAAATAGGATTACTAAGTCTTTTAAGAATAAAATAGAAGTTCACACTGTGATTATTACACTTCCACACTCACTATATTATCACATTACAACTGTCACACTATCATTGTCACATTGTCATCCGTCGTCACTAGCCACCATAGTGCCACCGCAGACTGACGATGGTTGACTGGTCATACTTCTATATTGTACTATCATTATTTTTTTCATCACACTTCCAAAATGTACTTTTATATTAGACCGTCATTATACTCTTGTTTTGGTCTTATTAAAATGCTTAGAACTCCTATTTTGATATTTTCATACTTTTCTCCTCCGATCCCATCAAGGAGATTTCTAGTATATAATCACTACTCCATCTCTCCAAAAAATTTCTTACCACTTTGACTTTCTTGGTTAATTTTTTAAAAATTTGAACACAAATTACATACAAATTAATTAAATGGATTGAATTATCATTTAAAATTAGATCCCATTTGGTTCAGTTAGCGTTTTGAAAATGACTATCAAACTGTAGCATTTAGCGTTAATATTTTAAACTTCCTCTTTCGTTTTTTCTTTGTCCCCAAATAAACTTCTCTTTTCCCTTAAAAAATCCCTTTTACCCCTTACTTTTTCATACCCTACCTATCACATCATACTTTTTTACTAATAATCTATCTATCACATCTTACTTTTACACATCACATCAAGAGTATTTTTGGAAAGTCAACACAAAAATATTCCTCCCTTAAATCCTCAAAAAATCAAAAATGGAAGTTTATTTAGGGACAGAGGAAGTATTAAAATTTTATTTAACACCTTGTGCCAATAGATTCATTTTGAATTATACTCGGTAGTATTGATGATATACTCCGTATTTAAACAAAGGTACAATTTCATTAATCACCAAATCAACACTTCTTACACTGCACGCTCCAAGCCTCCAACACACTACAAATATCATCTCTAAAAACCCCAATTCTACGTTAATTACTTACATCTTCTTTCCCTCCCTCCTCAACATGTTGTTGTACGAAACACAATCCCATCCCATTAAACATATCATATTCCTTAGTTCTCTTCTTATGTAATTATAACTTGTTCAATTCCTAGCGAGCTTTCCAGATAGTATAGCACGCTGCTGCATACAAAGCCACACAATATAACCTTTTTTCCCCTTAATACTCTTCAGCTTGACTAAAAAGGTGGTCCATCCATGTCCTCTTCCTCCTTACCACATACTACCACATACTACCTCCGTTCCAGAATATTTGTCCACTTTCATTTTTACACACCATTCAATGCACTTTTTTAATCCATTTTACCTTGTAATTTGTATATTAAAAAATTATAGAAATTATATATTAATAATCTATATGTTAAGACAAATCAAACAAGATCACACATGACTATATTTAGACTTACACATTAAGAGAATTTGATGAGTCAAAGTGCTTAGATGAACAGTTCCAAAAGTCAAAACTGGACGAATACTCCGGGACGGAGGGAGTATGTCACAAGTTGTATTTATATTCATGAACTTACCAATTCTTGCTCTAGCGCTCAGGCCCCGTTTGGTACACGGAATTCAAACTATGGAATTGGAATTGAGGACTTCAATTCCAATTGTGGAGTTTGGTAGCACAAAAATTATGTGGATTTAGAATTGGTAGTGCAAAAAAATGAATTGGAATTGGTGAATTCAATTCTATGGAATTGAATCTTGGGTCCGTTTGGTACATGGAATTGATGGAATTGGAATTGAATTGGAATTAAAATTTCATGGGATTCAATTCCATAAAATTGAATTCACCAATTTCAATTCATTTTTTGCACTACAAAGTCCAAATCCACATAATTTTTGTGATACCAAACACGAGAATTGGAATTGAAGTCCTCAATTCCAATTCCATAGTTTGAATTCCGTGTACCAAACGGGGCCTTATGGAATTTTAATTCCAATTCAATTCCAATTCCATCAATTCCATGTACCAAACGGACCCTTACTCTCTCTTTGCAGATAAGCCAATCAACACTGCAAATTTGGTTTTCCAGTAATCTACTAACTTTTTCCGGAAATGACACTATGGAAATTGTGAAAGCAATACAATGAACATGCAATATAATTTTGTAAATCTATGATACAAATCTCTAAGAAGAGAATAGGGTTATACTTATACTTTAAAAAACTCAGTTTCAAATTTTAAAAATAAAAAAAAATGAATTGAAAAAAAAGAATTTACCCCAACTAATCCAAGTCTTCTATTAGGTAAAATAAAACAATTCATTTGATGAAATCTAATACGGAGTAGGTAACTGTTAGGCTCTTAACCGTCACCGAAAACTCACACACTAGTAAAATATGTTTAGAAATATTTGCACTAAATAGAATTAAAACTTAAGTCATTTTTTCTAAATGACACTTAAACTATTTTATTCCTTCAATAACACGTACTAAATAATGTCCAGAAGGAGGAATAATGTCTAGTGATTACGAACATTTACTTGAATAATGACTAATGGATAATGACTAAAAGTGCTACATTATAAAAAACACATATGATGCTATTTGGGAAAGTCATTATGTTTTAGTGCTATTTAATTAAGTAAATTCCCCGTTTATTATGCATCACTATGGAGCGTGACATTAACTTTGAAAAAAAGAGGAAATCCGGGATTATTTGAAATAACTTCAACTAGAGTTTATGCGCCATTTATCTTTGAACACTTCATAAATTGCACGGATTCCCTCTAAATTTTAAAAATTGTAGCAATGATCCTTGAGTTTTTAAAACGTTGCATCAGTGATCTTTCTATTTCTATGCCAGATTTGGGAATAGTTAATCATACGTTCGTCCAAATTTTTGAAGAATTCAAGAGTAAATAGAGCAAAAAGCTCATTTCAACTAAAAGAAACTCGGATCATATCTCCTAGCTCTATCCATTCAAGTCAATTGAAATGTAAGAAGCTTTTAAAAGCCCTGACAAAATATGGCGGTAAAGGCGGGGCACATGGGGCCGAAATTATCTCTATTCTATTCTCTTTCTGACCTCGTTGGAGGAATGTTGATCAGTAATCTTGAATAAACATAGCTTTCTAGCTCCATTTTTCCTTTTTTTTTCTTTTTTTTTCTTTTTTTTTGGTTTGGGATTTTCTTTTCGATTCCTAACAAAATAGACTTGCAGATTGTCAATAGAAAATTTCCTTTTTTCCATATTTATTTTAAGCAGTTAGATTCTCAAGAAAGTAAAATCCTTTTTTTGCCCCCACATTTGTAACCCTCGCCACCTTGACCAAAGTTCCTGCATCAATCCAGAAAACAACTCTATGGGAACGCATACATAATTTTTTTCTGTTTCATAAATGCAGGAAACATTATTTCATATGTAATTTTGATGCATGCCGAGTTTCTGGTCTGGGTTTTTCGAGTTATAATCTTTTGGGGCCTGCATTCTTTAGAATTCTTGATAATTTCTCTGTTTGATCATTTTTTTCGATTCGTTTCATTCATTGACTTGTTGGGTATTTTTAATTTTACAGAGTTGATATATATCATCTCTTCTTTTTTTAGAATATTCCATAAAAAATCTATTTGTGTGAAAATTGAGAGGGATTCTGGCCTTAATGTGCTGAAAAATGAGCGTTGAGTGATCAGAGTTTGAGGATAGATTTTTAAGCTGTGTGAGTTACCAGAAAAACACATTGCGATTTGAATGATTTACAAAGGGTGATTATGCATATATTCAGAGCTCATCGGTTCACAACGCGATATGGGCAGCATTTGCTCTAAGGGGTCAGAAGCGAATCATTATATCACAGATGAAAGCGATGATGCAAAGAGGGTAAAAAAAGAGTTGACAAATTTTTGTGTGCAGACAGTTGCTCCCTCCTGCGGGGAGGAGTTTAAATTGGATTTCAGTAACAAGCCAGCAAAAGAAGGATCTGAACATTCGATCCAGAAGCGAGAACCTGAAAGAAACACAGCTGTTTCTGTTGTCCCAAAAGTTGAAAATGATGGGAAGACGAAAATCATTGAGAGGCCAAAAGATGGCCACCGGAGGCGATCTACTGTGGATTTCGGGACTAGTGGGGGGTCGACTTCCATATCCCGGATAGCGAGCATGCCACATGGTGTGAGGGGAGAACAATCTGCTGCTGGATGGCCAACCTGGCTGACTTCAGTTGCTGCTGAGGCCATTCAGGGGTGGCTTCCTCGAAGTGTCGAGTCATTTGAGATCGTATGCAAAGTCAGTTGAATTACTCTTTTTTTTCTTTTTGTAGTTGTGACAACCAAGATTCTTGAGTTGATGAAGAACCCACAGACAATGATTATAGAATTTGACCCTGACTTTACCATAAAAACATCCTTCTTAATTCTTGAAAGGATCATGATCTCATCCTGATATGTGTTCATTAAGACATTTTGTTGAAAAATGATCAATCTTAGGTATTTAAAAAAAGCCATCTTTTTTAAACAGAAAACTGATGTTGCAGATTGGGCAAGGGACATATAGCAGTGTCTACAAGGCGCATGACCTAAAGAGCAATAAAATTGTGGCGATGAAGAAGGTAAGGTTTGTAAATATGGATGCAGAGAGTGTTCGTTTCATGGCAAGGGAAATATGCATCTTGCGCAGATTGGACCACCCCAATGTCATAAAGCTTGAGGCTGTCGTGACATCGAGGATATCAGATAGCATATACCTGGTTTTCGAATACATGGAGCACGACCTTGCTGGGCTTGAAGGGTTGCCAGGGGTCAACTTCACCGAACCACAGATCAAATGTTATGCGCAACAACTGCTTTTGGGATTGGACCACTGCCATAGTCGCGGTGTCCTTCACAGAGACATCAAGGGTTCAAATCTTCTCATTAACAGTAGTGGCATTCTGAGGATTGGAGACCTGGGATTGGCCACAACCTTCCACCCTGACAGGAAACAGCCCCTGACAAGCCGCGTTGCAACTCTGTGGTATAGAGCCCCTGAGCTTTTGCTAGGTGCGACAGATTACGGAGTGGCCATTGATATGTGGAGTGTGGGTTGCATTCTTGCAGAGTTATTCGCTGGGAAGCCTATCATGCCTGGAAGAACAGAGGTCACATTTCTTCTTCTTCTTCCACTCTCTCAAGTCATCCAACCCTTTCGTCAATTGCCAATGTAAATGCAATGCTTATTTAAAAAAAAAAAAAACAGGTGGAGCAAATGCATAAAATCTTCAAGCTTTGTGGGTCGCCATCTGAGGAATACTGGAGGAAAACGAAATTGCCTCATGCCACTAGTTTTAAACCACAGCAGCCGTACAGGCGATGTGTGGCTGACACCTTCAAGGACTTCCCTGCTTCGGCTTTAGCTCTTGTTGATACCCTACTCTCAGTGGAACCAGAGAAGCGTGGAACTGCCGCTTCCTCACTAAACAGTGAGGTATTTCATAACTTTTTCATTGTCTTCTGCTCCTAGAAATTCCAATTTCCTACCTAATGTCCTGACCAGCTGGTTCATAATGATATTTTTTTCTTTAATCTCCAGTTCTTCACAACAAATCCCCTGCCATGTGATCCATCATCAAGTTTACCCAAACATGCACTGAGTAAGAAGAAGCTTGACACAAAGGCTCAAGATGATGAAAGAAGGTATGCTATGTTTCGTTCGTTCTTTTTATTCGTTAATCGATAGGGAAGCATATCAAACAACTCAGAAACATGCTATTAATGGAATATGCAGACGAAAGGTCGAAAGCGTGAAAGGACGTAGAGGTGAATATATAGAGAACCCAAGAGAAGATTCATATGGACACCGAACAGGATACAATGCACAGCAGGAACAGCGGGTATATTTTGTGTTTATAATTCAAATCGGGTTAGAAAGAAGTTTTCATTTGTTTACACTTTTCTTTCTTAGCTTTACTGTTAGCCACCCATGACTATGACTCACAAGAGAGAATCTGCAGGAGAGGTCAAATAAAAGCACTAGTGTGAAATACAACCCATTGTTGGACAGTGAGGCAAAATATAGGAACACCATCGTTCATTCTAATTCGGTTGTTCACCCAAACGTTAGAGGGGGTCACAGAGTAAAGGATGATGGTGGAGGTCAAACTGTCCACGGAGAGAGTCTAGAGATGGTAAGAGACGATTCTCAAAAGAGGCGGCATGTTAATGTGTTGTTAAGTACTTCGAGAGATGAAAGATCATCTGACCAGGAGGATATTGCCAGTGTATGATCTTCTTTTTAATTGTTGGAAATGGTTTCTTGAGCTATATTTTATTATTACTATAATACATATAATCTGTTTTCCATGGATTTTCAGGTTTATGTGGCGAGGCGAAGTAGGATTCTTTGCTCTGGGCCACTGGTGCCTCCTGGGGGAAACATGGAAGATATGCTAAGGGAACACGAGAGACAAATTCAAGAGGCAGTCCGCAAAGCAAAGACAAAAAGAAACAGCTACTACGATTGATTAAGTATCATCGCAGCAGTGTCTCAGGTAGCAGTTAAAACTGGTGTGGCTGACATTGTTTGGATTACCATAATGAAAAATGTGCTACTTTGACACCACACACACGCACAAAAGACTTATTCTGTGCATGAATGATGTCAAAATAGCATTGCTCTTAGTCTCTTACCATACCAATAGAAGAAACTTGTCAAAGTTTGTATAGAAAATTGGTGGACAGGACAACTCTGCCAACTACTTGGTACCCCAACAGTTCCACATTGTGTATAAAGTGTAAAAAAATCCTCATTTCAGTGGTCAAACATGGCCTGGAAAATGAATGTTAACTAAATGAAAGTGATTGGTTGCAAAAATATCATTTTCTATGCTCAGTTAACATAAAGCAGCTCATGCAACCCAGCCTTACCCTAAAAATTATTTACTAGATCACAGCCAACAGTCTAGTAAGAACAGCAATTGGCAACCTTTCATCAAAGCAACATCAGGTCTATCTATACACATATTAGTCATACAGATCTGGTTCATCAAGTGATAGTCAGAGAACATGTGATAAACATTAAAGAGAATGATATTCTCAACTTTTAAAAAAAAGGTTTATTTAGAAAAAAGAAACATGAACATTATGTACATTGCGCCTGAAAACGAAGCACTTGATTATCAGCAAGGGCACAAGTCTAAGGCCACTAGGCATGGGATTTGGAGCAATCAAATGTCTTTCTTAGGCTTGCGACTTACCTCAGAGTAATGGCCTCCCATCAACTGCAAGATTTCTTCCCACAAACTCTCCAATGGAGATCCCCCAAAAATCAAATTTGCACTGCATGCAGCAACATACCAATAATCCGATTCAAGCTCTTCTGTCAATTGGTCCAGCTGCCACCCAGCATACCCAAAGAAGAATCTAAAATCTTGAGGTTTCAGTTCCCCTTTCTTCACTAATGCAGATGCCTCTTCCATGTTTTTTCGAGAACCAAAAGAAATGCCGGGAATGACCTCTTGAAAACCGTGAGCAAGGGACTTTCCTTCTGCTCTTAGCAAAAACATACTTGCATCAAGGGGCCCACCAAAATGCAAGGAGCACTCAGAAAAGGTCGTTGCCAAGTCAAGATTGGTGGATTTCACGTGTTTAATCTTTTTTCTGAGTGGACGGTTTATGACCAGTCCAAAGGGACCTTCTTGAGGACGGTTGGTCCCAGTTCTCAGTAGAAGAACCACTGTTCTCTCAAAGCTGCGAACCCTGTCAAGCTTTTCAGTTGAAACAAGGATGCAACCATTCTCAGGAGCTGCAATAGGGTGTGCCCACTTTCGAGGTAGAGGTTTAAAGCCAAATGCAGTTTCATCATACTTGTGGGGGTCAGAGACAGAAACTGCAGCCTGATATTCAAGATATGGACATATTAAGAGAAACGACATGCAACTTTATCATCAAATGTATGCCACACAGTTCAATATATTTTTCCTATGTTAAAATGAAAAAATTTAAACAATATTGCATTCTCCTGACGGCCCAACTGTTGATACTTCATCAAAATGACACAAGTGTATTTTGATGTGAGGATGAAATAATAGAGCCGACAGCCAGGATGGAGAGAACAAAGCTGTTAGGCGTCAGCAACACATATCATTTGATGTGGAGGAACAAGCATCTGTAGTAGAAAATAGAAAAACAACTCCACTTTTATTAGAAAATTATGGAGTTTATGTTTTTCCTAATATAAATGTTTAATTTAAATGAAATGATTATTCATTACCAGCAACAGGTAGCTATTCTGATCTTATTCCTTACTACCAATGCAAACACCTGCAACTCGGTGGGGTGGAGTGGGATGGGGGGAGAGAGACGTGATATACACAATATATGCACTCAGAAGTAGGGTTGGAAAAGATAAGATCTGTGTGCACCCCAGAATTTGATACATCCATAATTTAGCAAAGAATAACAGAATTTGGTACATCCATAATTTTCAAGGGATGACGGAAAAAAAATACAAATTTGATGGCTTGTTTTTCAAGCAAGGCTTCAATTCAAGGACATGAGGGTTAACACCAGAAGAACATGTGTTCAACAAAAGATGTCTTTCGATTGGCACTCTCAGTTCTTCATAGAAAACGGAACAGTTGTAACTTTCCGTGGAGAGTAAAGTATTGTTGAAAGTTCTACACAAGTAATTCTGGGAAGGAATCAGTTCCAAAGTATAAAAATGAAAAAGTTTTTTTTCCTTTTCAGGGTTGGATATAATTATTCCATTAAGTAAACAAAGCTTTTTGCACCAGTTGCATAATTTATCCCTAAAGGTGTTGTATTGTATTTTTGGTCAAACATGCAATACATAAGAAAACAGGCCAAGAGAATCGAGCATGGATACCTTATAAGATCGAATAGAGGTGACACCAAGAACTCTCATTTATTCAACACTTGGTTTGGAGACGTGAAAAACTGACAAGTCATAAATTCCAAATAAATGCTATATGAAAGGAGATGATACCTGCTCCTGGATATAAAGAGAAGCTCTGAAGTCTCTCCAGTCAACAGAGTTGGTATTCTGGCCACCATTACTTTTGGTGTTGCTTTCAGAAAAGCGATTACTTTCTATAGAACTATCATCTTCTGCAAATGAATTGTCCCCATTCCCTTCATTTGAAGAGCATTGTACTTGGTGAGAGGCTATAACCACTAAAAATTGCAAAACATTGGTTTTCTACTGCACAAACACTAATGAATGAGAATAGAACTTGAAGGTTCTATTCTATATCAAATCATAGATTTAACCCTTAAGGCTAAAATGAACTACTCCATCCACTCGACTTGGTTCTTTATGGTTACTCTTCACACGGTAAAACTATTTCCTCTTCCTTTATGTTGGAGTTCCCACATCGGAAAATAAAGATGAGTATCACTTGCATATATTGAAGGGTGAAGCCCTACCTATCAGCTTAAGCTTTTGGGTTAGAATTGTGGATCCCGACTTTATGTGCAAGTGGTTAATTTAACCCGACACTCTATCCGTTATTCTTGGCCCGCCGGAATTTTAACATGGTATCAGAGCAGGTCCGGTCCGGGTTTGATTGTTCCTGATTGTTTGGATGTGGGTTTAGCAAAAATGAGCTACCCGTATGTGGTTTGGGCTGAGTTGGCTAAAAAGAGATTGAGATGCCACCGCCAGTTGTGTGGGCTAGCTATAAGAGATTGAGATGCTAGACCCGTTTGTCCAAGTGCTAACTAGGCCAGGCTAGTTACCACTTGCGGGGGAGTGTTGGAGTTCCCACATCGGAAAATAAAGAT